AACAGAGAGCTGCAGGGAAGGCAAGAAGGATTCTACTCTGGGCAAATAATCTAACCTCCTAGAGCCAGTTTCTTCCTTGCAAAATAGGGATAAAACTTACCTGAGGCCTTGAGAGGATTTAAATGAGATCCTGATACTAGCACAGTAACTGACACATACTGAGTAGGAACTCAATACGTGATCATATTTTAAAATCACTCTGATGAGACAGCTGTAATTCATAAGGTCTTTCATTTTAAAGGGAGGAACCAGGCCAAGAAAAGGGGAGAGATTTGGCCAGGATCTCTAAGTTGGTGGCTGAACCCAGGATAGTGCTGAGGTACCCAGAGGAAGTGGGAGGAGAAAAGGAGTATTTGCGTTCACTTTGACAGCAATCTTCTTCCCCTACCCCACTCTACGCCCTGCTCACTTCACCTCAAGTACTGCCCACTGCCTGCCCCTCCCCTCCACCTCCCTGGATGTGTTTGGCCCTCCTCACACCTTCCACATCTCCACAACCCTCATGGACCACAGGACAAAACAGAAAGGCAACTCTATGACTTTATTTGGTTACATGAAGGGGTCTGGGTGTTTGTCCAGTCCAGCTAAACTGTTAATTCCTGAAGGCAAGCAGGAGCCCTGAGAGAATGCCCCAAGCAGGACACTTGATAGGCTTTGCACCAGCAATCTGAGCCCTCTCTAAGATGTTGAGGACCTCAGTCACTCTGATGTACCCAATATGGTGAGCATGTGCTAAAATTTTGTGATGGTCACGAGCACAGCCCATGAGGAGGATGGTGGTATTGAGATACCCTGTAAGGATGAGAAGGAAAAGTCAGGGACACTTTCAAGACTCACGTGACCTGCCCTTCCTTCTAGATACCCCTCACAACAGGGCACCTGCTCTCCCACCAAAGACTTGGGCACCAGGCCACTTCCTCCTTCCTCCTTGGAATCTGTGTGCCTGGTGCCCGCAACCCCAATCCCTCCTGATTCCTCCAGCTACTCTCAGAAGTGGAAAGGTCCCAGACAGCACCTGGCATAGAATAGGCATTTGATAAAGTTTCTCTCTTCTCACCTGCTTGAAATTTTAAGGTGGAACTGTAACACTTAGGAGCGTCGTAGGGGCAAGAATCAGTAGTGACAAAACTTGGGAGACAATCTTTAGAGTGCTCGCCCACACAGGTTGGGCAACTATGGGAAGAAAATGCTGTAGGCTTAGGAGCATTCTCTTTGAGTTTCACAAAAGGAGCCAAATTGGTGAGGTTATTGCAGAGATATGTCCGGCAGACACGGCTGTAAGAGGCAATGGACAATCCAGGCGGTGAAACGAGGTAGGAGACTTGCTGGGGATAAGATGGGGCTGGGCTGCAGCCTTTAAAACCCACAACTCCCCTTCTGGTTCCTGAGGAGCAGAGATTAGAGAGCTCCGATCAGTGTCACTGGCCACACCCAGAGCTCACCTTTCCACCCTCCACCCTGCTCCTTCTGCTCGCTCTGCCCCATCACTAACTTTGCATCTCTCCCACTGTTCCTTCACTGCAGCTGCACAGATATTGGGGTCTCCATCTGTCTCTTATCACTCCTTTCCCCGACAGAGCCCATCTTCTTCTCTCTTCCTTGTGTCCTATTCTTTTCTTCTCTCCCAGATTGCCCCCTCCTCCTGCGATCTGCCCACCTCCATCCTTCCCTCTTATCCAGTCCACACCACAACCAGCTGGATCCAGTCCTTCTCCCACCAATGCTTTGACATTATTCCCAAAGATATAATGAGGCAAATACCTGGAACTCAAGTCCACAGTCCCTGGGTGCTGGGAATTGAGCTATGGGTCAGAGGAACCAGCAAAAACAAAACAAAACAAAACAAAAAACCAGCATCAAAGTCACTCCCCTTCACCTGTTTCGATGAGCACCAGTGTCTCCTCGCAGCCCTCACTCAGCTTACACACCATGCTCCTCATCAGAAGCCATTTCCAGTTACGGAGAGTAACAGCTCTGAAGAGTGAAGCTGTTGCTTCATAGCACAAAAGAGCTCCAACCCCTAAAGAGAGAATGCTCTTCCAGTCATCTGCCCCTCACATCTTCTCTGTCCCTGAACTGCCACTTAAGAGCTCAGGCTTCATAGATCCTGTTCCCTGAGGAACCCAGACATTCATCTCCCCACCCTCTGGGGGTTCCAAAGCATCCAACACCACAGGACATACAAGGCAGAGTGGAGATGGCCCCTAGGAGGCAGAGCAGTTGCACAGGTCTCCAATGTTGGGGTCCCATGATCCTTTGTCGGGGTTCTGGATGCTAGAGGTCAGTCTGGAACCAATTTCAGTCTAGGTCTCAAGCTTGCTTCTTGTCAGTCCCTGGATTCTGTCCACCTGTCTCTGGGTCACTGTTTCTAAAGCAGAAAATTCATTATCATTTTCTGTGACATAGGCTTCCTGAGACCTTCAGGGACACAGGTCTTCTCATCTCTATATTCTCCCCTCCAACCTAACCCACCATATTAGCTTCTCAAATCATGACTCTCATTCAGATCCTTCCCATTAGACAGGGTGCTGAGCAGAGGATTTTGGCTTAATCAAAAGATCAGTATTCTCCAGAGACAATGAGATTGAAACAACAAATGGGTGTGGAAGTTACCTGACATATTACTGAATAACCCTTGCTTCAAAAAGGAAATTGAAAAGTACTTAGAAATGAATAATAATGAACATACTACATGTCACACACACATGAGTGCATGTAAAACCTGGTAAAAACTGAATTAAGTCTTTAATCTAGTTAAGAGTTTTGTACCAATGTCAATTTCCTGCTTATAGACTACAGTTATATAAGATATGCCTATGGGGAAGTGGGAGGAAAGGTTTAAGGAACTCTATATACAATTTTGGCAGCCTCCTGTGAGCCAACGATCATTTCAAAATCAAAAGTTTTCTTTAAAACTACACACCAAAATTTAGGACAAAACTAAAGCAGTATTTAGAAGTAAATTTATATTTTAAATAGGTTTATCAGGAAACAAGAAGCATTAAAAATGTCCATTAATTAACTCAAGAAGTTATATAAGAAGTGACAAAGCACCCCGAGGTCCCCCAAAAAGGATAGAAATAAGGATGATGGTAGAGATCAATGAAATAGAAAGCAATCACCGCAAATTATTACCAAAAAAACTAACATTCATTCTTTAATAAAATCAATAAGAATTCTCCAGCAAATCTAATCAACAGAAAAAGAGAAGATCCAAATAAAATGCAGAATGAAAAATAGGAATTAATGAACATCAGGTGTTTTAAAAATAATAAAAGTATCATTAACAACTCTACATTTATAAATTTGAAAGCCCAAATGAAATAGATAAATTTCTAAAATAATACAAAATGCCAGAATTGGCATAAGAGTATATGCAATGTCTTAAACAATGAGAATGTCCAAGGAACTCCAGCAAATTGACAAGGGAGCAACCTCACTAAGAAAATGGGCCAAGCATATGAAGAGGCAATTCTCAGAAAGGCTAGCAAACATGTGAAAGGCTAGCAAACATGTGAAGAAATATGTGAACTCAAAAATGAAAGGAATTTAGTCTATCAAACTGTACTTCCATCACACTGGCAAAAGATCAGAAAGCTGGAAATAGACAAGCATTGGCTTGTGGGGACACAGAGACCTTTGGGCACTCCTGCTCTTTAGGTGGTTAGGGCAGGGGTGGAATAGGGCCTTCTTCTGGACCCTGAGGAACAGAGAAGAGTTCTAATGTGTCTCAGGCCCAAGGCAATGTTGCAGGGAGAAATCTTAGTTAAATTAGGTTTACAAATACCTATTTCTGGCATATCGTAGGTACACCTAACAGATATTTCCACCTTCGCCTACAAAGGAAGGATGCAGCATTATTGCAATAACAGTGAATTGAAGGCAATGTTGGCGTCCCTCACTGAGACCTAGTGAACACTTGACATGCAGGGAGGCACACCATGAAATATGCAGCAGTCAGAAGTAACTGATTATACGTACATGGATGGATCATAAAAGCGCAGTGCTAATTATTTTAAATAGTAAAGAACACACCATCACTTGCATAAATTAACACCTCATGCACCTAAAATGCTGCACATCTTGCAAGAACACACACAAAACAAAAGATATGCATTAGCCACCTGAAATAAGTGCCTATGGGAGAGTTAGGAAATGAAAGTGGGGACTGAGGATTACTGGAAATAACTTAAACAACGGAGTTGATACACAGGTCATAGGCTTTGGACTTAAAGGGAGACCAAAGTTGGAATTTTCACCCTCCACTTAGTAGCTGCCCAACCTTGTGCAATTTGTTGAATTCGCAATGTGGACTGATAATGCGTCTCATAGTGTCATTGTTGAAAATAAAATTATTAATATGAAATTCCAGGCAAGTGCTAAGCGCTCTACAAATGCTGGTTTCACTGTCTGTCTGTCCATCTCTTCCCACTATCTAAAAGATCAAGAGCAACCTCTTTACCTGGCATTCGAGCCTCGCCTCCCTGCCGCCTCCCCGCCTCCCTGCCCCCACTCCCGCCAACCCCTGTATTAGCCACAAACAACCTTTCCAATTTTGTCTATTACTGCTCCCCTGCACAGCAGCTAGTCAGAGGTCACTTATAAAAGGTCACAGAAAACACCCTTTTCTGTCTAGAATGCCTGACACACATGCCCTGTAACCCCAAAATCTTGTCAAACATAAGGGCTAAGATCCGCAGAAAAGGGACACAGGGCGGAGAAATGAAGGCCGACAAAGGATCACACAAAGGGATTGAGCCAGAGAGGATGGCACACAACAGCTTGGAAAGCAAAACAACAGGACCCAACAATCTGAGCACCAGTGGGAACACAACCAGAGGAAGACTGGAATGAAATCCTCAAGGAGAAAAAGATGGCTACAAAAGAGTAACTAGAGGAGGAGGAGCAAATTGATGGAAACTTGTAGGGGGACCGAGGAGGACCAGCAGAGAGGGCACAATTGGAGTGGCAGGAAAATGAGGAATAGGGCACAAAGTCGGGGATCTCAGGAGAAAGAGGAGACAATCTTAGAAAATTAAAGAGAAAAAGAGACAGGGCGGAACACACGGAGAAAGGAGGACAACGCAGAGATGATTGTGGGGGGGAAATGTGAGGTGGGTCTAAAGGATACACAGAGAAGGCGACAACATAGAGAGAAGCCCCGAGAACAGGATGAAATCCTGGAAGGAGCTACACACAGAGGGTGGAAAGGGCTGAAAAAAAACCCAGAAACATTACAGAGAAGTGAAGCCTGGGGAAGTAAAGAAAGTGGGAAGGGTGCCAGGCCATTAGGGAGTGAGGCACAGGGAGAAAGGGGGTCCGAAAAATCAGCAGGATGGACTATCAGATGCAACGCCCCCATGCCGCATACTCACCTGACCGCCCCTCGCGCAGAGAGGGTGGGGGCGGGGGAAAGGAGACCCCGAGAGAACAGGAAAATCGTTGTTAGAAAAACTGGCACCCACACGGACAAGACACACGGGAGAGGGAAAGGGGCACAATCTGAGAAGCTGCGACTTGGGAAGGAAAGGAAATCACAGGGAGGGGAAAGCATAAAAGGAGACGGGTGGTTCGGGAGTTGGGGTGCCGGGAGTCCAGTGAGAGAAAACACAGGCGTCCACGCAGCGAAGAGGCGGCACCGAGCGAGTTGAGGACAACAGCACAAATGGCGCAGTGACGCAGCCCAGGACCGAGGCAAGCCCGCGCCTGCGCTATTGGTTCTTGGGGGAGGGGGGGTTGGGCCAGCCTCGTCTTGGAAGCCATATTCGACGCCCTATTGGCTGCCTGCCCCAAATGGGGAAGAACAATCTGGAAAGGCAAGCGGCTGAGAGAGGCGGAGAAAGGGCGCGAGACTCAACTCGACGCGCTATTGGCTGGCCCACGAGTCCGCGCGAGAAGACGCGGGCCGGAGGCAAGGGGCGGGACGTCGGTGCAGAACCTCGAAGCGCATTGGTCGCCTGCCTCAGCGGCGGGAGGCGGCACTTGAAGCTCATTGGTACTCGCGAGAAGGGGCGGGAAAACTGGCGCGAGTGCGGCCGTTCCTCAGGCCACTTCCTCACCTCATCCTTTCGCCTCCTCCTGACTGAGTCAGACTCGGCTTGCTCGAGGCTGTGGTAACCGCGGGCCGAGGACGCGAATCCGAC